GTAGCTTTTAGCGATGGAAACAACAAATAAACGACCCAAATTTGAGGAACAACAGCAAACTGCAAAGGCACGTTCTGAGTGCGTCCGGAGTAAAATATAATTGGTCCTGAGACCAGCAGTTGATACATACCGAACGACAGCATAAATTCACATGACATATTTTAAAATAAATTTGATTTCAAATTGTAATTCTTAAATTGTAATTAATTGTAGATTTAGATGTCATCGCAATAAACCTATAAGTGAAGAAGCAAATGTCTGTTGCCGAACAGCACCGTACGTACTGCATAACTTCGGCCCGTAACCATGAATAATGGTGCATTATTTTATATTTAACCATGCATTACATAAATTAAAACAGGGTATCGTCCAATCACAATAATGTAATCACTGCATCGCTACACTGGTAAAATATAAGCGTACGAAACGCCACGGGACAGAGGTGTGCTTTGAAGAAAAAAACCCTCCCTATCAACAAATTAGTCATTTCCACCAGCTGTTGACACTGACCATTCGGAAGCCAGAACCAAATCTGCTTTACGACTCCACTGTTTAAGGTAATCCACCCACTCAACACCCACTGATTTTTTTAGGCCAGCTGCTTTGAAGTTTGCAATGTTGAATTATGACCAGTAACAACATGGCTCTCCTTTCATTAATGAAAAAAACATCACTAGCTACAACGCGGTTTCTGATTGGTTACTCACAAAGTCATTCATTTGCCGAAGTTGAATATATATATATGCTAAATAAAAAAAAAAAAACTGTTGCCAAGCGACGAGATGTTAACTGATATACATATCTACTTTGTTGCAATATGTTCATTTTAATGAACAATCGTCCCAAATTACACCCTTAAGCGCCCAAGCGGGCAAACAGTTTTCATTCTGATTGTTCTCAACAATCTTCGAACGTTTCATATTTCATGAAACACAAAGCTTCAGCAGCTGCAATAAAAAACAACACTTTCAGAATGTATGTAATGGGTTGATCATTTCAAATCATAGGGGTGACAAAAAGATTTGTTGGAAAAAAATGCAAGCAAGACAAAAATGCATGCAGGAATACAATTTTGACACATTGAAGAAAAATAAAAATGTACATTAAAAACACTGCGAAAAAATGTAATGGTCACATTCTACCAACTAACCCGATAATTTTTTAATGGTTGACCTCTGACCTCTCTAATCACGGTATGGTAAATATCATCGTGGCAATCATTTCAAAAGTGCGGGTGTATTGGTTCATTCTATTCTTTAAAAAGCAGGATGATTGAGGTGTTGTCAAACCTGATATTTGTCAAACATACTGAAGAAATGTAGTGTCATATTTTTTCCCACGATGAATACAAATTGTCATAATATGCAATAATATCTAATCGTTATTGGTTTGATGTCTCATGCGCCTTTGCATGAAAATCCTAAGCGAAAATACTATGGCAACAGCGAAATCCGCTATACTATATTCCTCATTTAATGAGGCACGTTTAATTGATAATTTAGATAGTAAATGCTCAACTGTCAAATTCTCTCGTGCTGTTTTTCAAGTCGCCTAAACCATGGATGCATTCACGGTTATACGTCAATCCCGACATGCGACATGAGCGTTCAGTACAACACAGTTGCCTTTTCATCAGCTTCAAGGGCGGTGGGCGTCGCGCCACGCATGCGCTGGATATGGGTCTTAAATAAACAAAGATGGCGACTTTGACTGATGCTCAGACAAACGAGTACAAACTGATACGTTACCAAGCTTTATTTTGGTCATTTGATTTGGTGATTAGAAGGTATCAAAGAGTCCCCAACAGTAATGAGTAGCGCCCAGGTCAAAACTCGTACTCGTGATTTCATTAGAAAAGCTATTTGGACTGTGGGAAAAATCATTGTTTCTCAATACATAATGTCGCACATGCGCGGCGTGGTAACCATAGCTTTTTAAAATATTCAATTATTGAGTTCGACTCAAGCAATTAAAACATTTTCCACGGCGATTCAGACTACAATGTATTTTAATATAATTATAATATTGAAGCCATAAGGTTATCTAACTGAATAAACAAATACATACGCCCAAGACTGGTTTGCCAATTGAAAATACCTACAAATCTTACCGTTGATTGACTTTATCTATCACATGCATTATTTAGTAGCCATAACAATCATGATTAAACATATCCTTTCTTGGGAAAAACGTACGCAGGCTGACATCGATTGAAACAGTATCTAAGGTTATATATATGGCGATTCCAATATAAAATCACCTTCGTACGGGTCCATAAAACGCCATATTTCATGTGGTGTATTCAGTTTAATCGGCTCAGATGGGTATGACTACAGTTTCTAATCGCGAGGAGTTTGTTAAATAATATTATCATACCTCTTGTACAAGATCGTCACTTTGATTGGTCAGAACGCGGTCACGTGGCGGTCAATAAAACTCATGGTTGACTCGGAGTCTATAATGTAAATCCAATGGCCTCGATTTCGATTATGCGCTTGACTCCAACGTTCAATTTATAATGTGTCAATTTATTCGGTATGATAAAACATAGAGGTACTTCCGTATTGGTTTTAAAAATCATTGAACTCGCCCGCGCCGCGGTCAATAATTTTCTCTTCGGGTCATTAAAACTGAATATTGGCCTTGATTTCGGTAACTATTTGTTTAATAAAGCCCTTGACCTATATACACAAATAACTAAATTGTGGATCAACTGATTGAGCAGTTTCTATAAACAGATTCAACAAGCCAAACTTGACATCATGTCACGTGACTGCTAATTTATTTATTATTGTTGCAACAAAATAACCTTCAGAAGTGTGATAATTAAAGGTATATATCACGTGATCAATCAATTCATAGATAAATAAATAATTACATGTTGCATCAATTCATCTATATTTTCCGGAGTATGTGATATTCATATAATTCTGTGTTAATCCAATATGGCAGTCAAACCAAGAGACCAGTCATTCGGAATTAAACAACCCACAATGCACGATCGGAAATCAGTACAAACGTGGGTCTCAATGAAGCACGAATAATATTCAGATTTTCAATTATCGGTTTACTTCATTTTTTTAAGAGATTTAAAACCAAACGTTGCTGAGCTTATATATTATAAGAAAACATGGGGGCTTAATTGAAATTTGACGTATAACTAATCTAGTGATTGATGCTTTCACGGTTGGTTTACTGTCGCATTACTACCAGTATAACGCGCATTTATTATAATGTACACGAGCGTATATCAAGAGAGACAGTGGCGGTAGCTATAACTGTGGTATGCACGTAAATATAAAAAAGTTTGGAAACGAAATTGATTCTAGATACTGCTTTTTTGAAATCATTTTAGTTATTTCTGCCATTTATTTAAACCGTGACGTTCACGGTGACACGCCATCAACAAGACGTTAGAGTTTTCTTACTTACAGCATTCGGTTACTACTATCACAAGCATCTTGAACCAGAACGCATAACCACTTGTATCTAATGTTTTAGAAAAGCTAGGCCCACAACGTAATTCTGCACTGTCAAGATTGAAAAGAATTCGCTACAAGCATCTCAATATACTGGTAACTGAACGAACAAGTTTGGAGTGTGCGCCATTTTAAATCTATAAAAGAAAAAAAAAATGTTTGTCCAAATATTGTCACGGACATGGAGTTTGAAAACAATATTTCACGGATGCGCATATCGGGTTTCCGTGTATTTTAGAAGGTATGCTACAGAAGGACTGCGATCGACGATTGAGAACAACCATCGTGTTATGTCACTGGTAATGAACTTGGCAGGAGTGATCGTAGTTCGTTTATGTCACGACTATTTTAAATGAGTGATCGCACTACCACTACTTTAATGTAAAATCATATTAATATAATTAATTATGCGGAAAACATAAATTATATAGCGTTCACAGCCTGTTAATTTAGCAGGGAAAGGAGGTACAGTTTTATTCATACCATGATACATTATTATGCCTGCCAATCAGAAATCAGTTCACTGTCGCCGGTTTTACCTCACTAAGACGCCCCCAGTGTCAAATAATTCGTCCTCGTGTACAATAAAATCGTTGCCACAATGGCGTTTAGTAGCTCAGATCCTTGAATTCAAATTGACCAAGTAATTTGTAATGGAATATAAGAAGTTTTCCATGTCATGTAAAGATCCATAGTTCGCCAACCATTGAGAGAGCCGTTATATTTTCCCAAAACGTTTTTTTTATTAAGCGATACAATTCATCCAAATGGCACACAAAATATTTACACTTGATTAAAACTACACAAATTGCATGGAATACAAAATAGTTAAGTTTTAATCAAGTCAAGTCGATTTCAAAGCCTTATATTGACACTTATATCCGTATGTTACAGTCCAATATCAGCCTTAGATGAACACTGTCAATAACTGTTATTTACGCCTGAATCAGAAAAATAGTATCTCAACAGCACCATGAATTATTCTAATATATGCATGTATATTTTTACGCTTGTTAATTACTTTTGACAATCCATTTACGTGTTGTAATATTACATTTCTGCGCTCGTATATGTTGGGTAGATTGATACTTTTATAATTCATATGGTTACCATGCCAACCTCATATTATTTTACGACCGAGATGTTCCAGTTGAATGTAGTGCATATGCATATGTACTAAAGTTAACTGACAAACGTTTTGTGTATTATTATATGTATACTGCGATTATTCTTTTTGTGATTAGCTTGCATATGCTTGGAAGGATCTGTCCTTCACTGGTGGAAATATATACCCACGTTTGAAATGTCATAGGTCACGTCGACGTTGAAACATTCATTAACATTAGGACCCAGAGTTGCCAATGAGGGACGATCTACCATTGTCATTGGCCCAGCAACGCGATTAATGCGTATCAACAGTACCGGCAGAGGGCGTTCTACTTAAATTGAGTCTCATTTGCGTGCTGCTCCTGCTGCTGGCTTCACTTGTTTGGTAATTTGGCCTTGCTTCGGATTCGTACCCTATCTACATCGTAATCTGCTCTCTATTTTTCCCCGTAGTTGCTGTACTGATCGCGCGTCCCAGTCTGTTACCACCGAGATGACGTCGACGGATGATGTGAGACGGCTGGGAGCAGTTGATTGGTTTATCTTCGTAGGGATGTTGATATTGTCGGCGTCAACAGGTGTCTACCATGCCCTTGCAAAAGGGGGACAGCAGAATCTATCACAGTGAGTATATCGTACTGTAGCAGATATATTTATATACCGCCTACTCTTTAAACTATAACGTAAAATAGTTTATCACCACGTCAAAAAACAACACATCGTATGAAATTACAGTTTGGAAACAGTACTATGCGTCTAAGCTGTGTGTTTTTTTCACTCCGGTGTTACCATCGTATAAACGTATTCCACCAGCAGCGTGGGTGATTATAGAGTTCACGCACAGGGTATTCGGCGGATCATTCTCACGGTCCCCAATACTATGATCACTGATGCTGTGTCACGAAGTAACGATTAAAACATACAATATTCACCGCGGAGGATTGATGGTGATTGTTAAATGTGTGCATATTTGTCTCCCGGTGGTTCCCGTTCAAGTGGTGCGGAAATTAAATAACTTTCATCCTGGCATTTTGCTGTCAAACCCCCGCAAACGTTTAGTTTTATACAAATAATCGATAGTAAAAGAATATAAGGTCAATGCTTCTATTAGTGTTTTAATGAGTTCAACTGACTGCGTTTCCGATCTATCGACGCTGGTGAAATAACAATTAGATCTGAATGCCATTCGTGGGATTTTGGGGATGCCTTTCTCTCGGGTTAATCGCACTCCGTAGCCCACGACTACGTGCGAGCGATATCCGCTTGAAATGCCAATGTTTTTACGCAACGCGTGTATTTGTGTATTTATTCATACCTTGTGTAAAACGACCCTAAAACAAAACAAGCCGAGTTGAAGAGTACATGTCATCTTCGTCACACCATTATTTTTATGATTTCATGCAGTCAGAATACTGAAAATAAGAAAAATGGGGTCTCCGGACAATGTTTCGTGTACGAGAGTCCAAAATGTCATACGAAATTGTTATTTTTACTCTTATTTTCATTATTATTTTTTCATGTCTATAAATTTTGATTTGTGGCTTGCGATGAAAAAGCCATATATTATTTATAATAGGAATACCAATATTGCTGACATATTTAAAAACAAATGACATTTAATTTAGTGAGTTTCCACTGTGATAATTACTAGTTCACTCCCATAATGCATTGCGCATATGTGCAGTAACATGCTCAGCGAGGCCCAATATGGAGTCGGTTCAAACTCCCTTAAGATTGCAAATGTGCCTGTAGGTATTATACATTTGATGTGGGCTGTTGACTGAACAATCCTCTTGGATGAAGTGTAGACACGTAACCACATCACACCAGCTGACTACCACTACTCATCTCCTTATTCCATGCATCATCACGCGCAGTTTTCATGTAAAATATCACTAACGGGTATTCACGCTCTGATCATATACACATCGAATATTCATGGCCTAGTTATTTTGAATACATCCTTTTATTTTTTTAACTTTATAATCTTTATTACCTTCTCATCGGCTCCTTACGGTGCAAAAATCAAAGAGTTTACACGTCTGAGAGACATACTTTCAGGTTGATCGAGTTACAAAGATACATAAATACAGATAAATTATATTGTAAAAATTGAGACATTTATGTTAATTTGATAGTTGGATAAATTTACAACTTAGTTATTTTAAGGGTGATGAGACTGGTAAACTTCAATTTTGCTATCTACGACAAATATTTTGCCTTTTAAACATTGAATAATTAGTTAATTTTTGCCGCATTCGTACCAGATTGTTAATACTATTAGAATAAATTGCTTCCGGCTACTTTAAATGCTGGATCTGTCAAAACATAATGTATTTCATTAACTGGGTCTTGTATTAGTGAGTTGGTTATTTTGACATCTATATTAGGATATTGGTATGACCACCACAGCAAAGTCGAAGACCAATATGTCGTGCCGCACACAAAGACTAATATATTTTTCCATGCTAGGCTCTGTTTTAATAATCCAATGAAATGAACATATTTAATTGGAATAAACCTCTCTAAACCAGTTTTGTAAATTTATATCATGAATCTACGTTTTATGCATTTTTAAACTACATTTTCAAAACCATATCACGTGATTTTTTCGAATATCCAGATTGATCAAGTACAAATTTAATTTGTTTAACCACTCGTACTCATTGTTGTCGTACTTGTTTGCAAGTCTGACCGTATATAGATACTAGTAGTTTACTTGGTTTTCGCAAGTATCGCGCGTTTCTCACGCGAGGTCGAGGCGGTTATTTTTATATAAGGTATATTCGTTGTGAGTTTCCTTTATTGAACAACTCGTCTGCTTTTTATTCCGTAGATACCTGATAGGAGACCGGAGTATGTCGGCGCTACCAATCGCCATGTCCTATTTTGTGACCTACACGTCAGCGACGGCCATTACCGGGTACCCAGCTGACGTCTACCTCTTTGGGATGCAGCTTGGTGTTATTTACATCGGGTACATTCTGGGAACAGTCGTGGTGATGTTTTTGTTTATACCGTTCATCAGACAGTTCAACTTCATTAGTATATATGAGGTGAGTTTAGTGGAGTGACTTTGTCTTCAACACAGGAGGGCGACACAGTAATCCGAGGGCGCTATATTTCAACAGAACATTAATGTCCAGTTTTGAATTAATCATTATAATTACGTAACTTGTCGTACTACCTTGCTGATTCCATCGACCGATTTTTCAAGACATATTCGGTCGAGCTTAATCGTTTAAACACAATGGCTGGTCTGTTTACCTGCTGACTAGTAATCGGTATATGTTTCAAAGTGCCCGGACAGAATTCCCACCGGACAGAAAGTCCCTAGAAAAAAAAAAAAAACGAACGCGGACAAAAGGTTCCCAGACACACGACGTACTTCTACGCCGGGACCGTCCGTTATTGAAGTGAATATTCGATTGTTTCTCTTACGTGTGCTTTGCATGCAAAGTGTCATCCAATGTTCAGAGTGATGTTTGATAAGTGACAACAATATAGGACGCACGAATTAAAGCGATAAATTATAATAGGCGTGACTAATATCTGTCCTGATGTACATATTAAAAACATGCGACGCGTGAATAACAATGATATATTGTAATAGGTATGACTGTCATCTTTCCTAGTGTATATATTAAAAATATACGACTCACGAATTAAAATATTAAAACGATATACTGCAATAGGTATGACTGTCGTCTTTCCTAGTGTATATATTACAAATATACGACTCACGAATTAAAATATTAAAACGATATATTGTAATAAGTATGACTGTCATCTTTCCTAGTGTATATATTACAAATATACGACTCACGAATTAAAATATTGAAACGATATATTGTAATAAGTATGACTGTCATCTTTCCTAGTGTATATATTACAAATATAAGACTCACGAATTAAAATATTAAAACGATATATTGCAATAGTTAGGACTGTCATCTTTTCTGGACAATGTGCATATATTACAAATGTTCTATTTTAATAGACATGGTTGTCATATTTCCCGGTGTATGTATTTGCGACTTGCGAACTGAAACAATATATTGTAATATGCGTGACTTTCCGATGCATATTAAAAAACATGCGATATATAAATGAAAACGATATTTTGTAATAGAAGTGATTATCGTCTTTCGCGATGTATATATTAAAAGCGATATATTTTAATAGGCGTGACTATCATATTTTAATATATACATCGGGAAAGGTCATTGACGCTGCAGGTTGGCGTCTTCTACACCGATCTGACGCATATCGCGCAAGGTGTGCCGGGAGTTTGTTCGAAACTACGAACGTTTCGAAGTCATTCGTCGGTTGGCACCTATTTTACAGATATATTAAATCCTTTCACGGGCCTGTTTACTAAATAATGATAAATGAAACTTAGAAAACTTGTAAGTACAAACTGGGCCCAAATTGCGCAAATTTGCAATAAGTTTACGCTGCTAGAGTCTGGTTCGGATGGAGTAATACGCGTGATTTTATTGCGCTCAAGGACGTTCTATTTTCGAACTAGTTGAAACCGGAAATAACGCAACTACTTTCGAACTTCAAACACAAATTTGATTATCGTTATTATGTATTAGTTTCTGTTATTTCAAAGATTGAATTATGTATGACAATAATATTTCACTCTATAAACAATATTTTACTAAAATATTTGATTCAAAAGGCAACCCAAATTGTAAAAAGCAATATCAAGTTCCGCGTATAAACACTGTTGTAAAGAGGCGGCGGATCGGAATTTTAGCCAAAATCGGCTAGTAAGGCGTCATATGACACAGGTTTGTGCGAACTCCGCACAGTTCGATACGCGTTACTTATCATCACTGCACAAAGCAGATTTGCATAGAACTCATTTGCATATTCGAATATGTTCGAACTACAAGACCTTGGCGGTTAACAAAGTTATGCGAAAGTTACTTGGTTACTTTAATCACTTTAATAAGACGCCCTGAATCCGAATAAAATGTTTAGTGATTAGAACAAAATATACAAGACTTGCTTTAGAAAACTGCAATAATTTCCTAGATGCCAAAGCATTATAATGTACAATAAATAAATAACTTTATAAACTTACAAGAACCTTTGTGTTCTATGACTGTTAGACGCGGAAAATCGAACCCGTTCAAGCCAGAAATAGTATTGATATATTCACCAGAATACAAGATGAACGGAAATGTTAGGAAACCCCTTTCAGTGAAATTAGTCTTTAATGTTTCTTTCCCAACTATATACGATAACAGAACGTTTTTTTCTTCTAAGTTTTAGTGTATCACGTGCGCCACTTCACTACAGTAACATTACCTTGCAAAACATAGTCCGCGATAAAATGGTTCGTATTTGCGTTTTTACTGAGGTCTGACATTAATAAATAGTTCGGATGTCACATACGTTTTTTCCCCACTTTTTGTAGTACGTTTTCAGATCTAACAGGTACAAGAAAATGGCCGTGCGTAGTGAGGTGATTGACCACAAAATTGAAGGCTGCTTGTGGCAGAGGCACTATTGCGTAAAGCGCAAACGCCTCTGGGAAGGAGATTGAGGTTTGTGCTGGGACAGCGCTTCCGGTGACGACACAACGCGGGAAAGGTTTTGTCTGGGGACGTTTTGACCTTTGAACTACACTCTTGTTTTGATAGCTTTCAGACTCATTTCCTGTACGCTCAACAGCAGCCCCGCCTTTCGAAACTGTTTTTATTTCCATGTACACGGAAATAATTATGTACTTTTCAATAATATTGCCGCCAAACCTACACAGATGAGAGCTCATAACAACGAATATAATAACTGTTGCTTTGTATCGAAAGCTCCGGCATATGCAACAAGTTCGTACACGGCGATGAACATAAATGCTCCCCCTTCTCCCACACAAATTCAAACGGAAGTGTTATAACGTGTTCCTGCAGGATTGTGTGGTTTCCCGGGTCTCTTTCAATGAAAATAACGAATGTATTGTGTGTTACGTGAAGTTCTTGATGATGATTCTTAATAACTTGGTTTGTGCTTGTTATACAATATTTTCCCACGTGATATTTTTCTAGTAACCCATACTTTTAATTCCAGAATCGGCGAGTCTCTTTGTGGAAAAGTGTACTCGTAAAGCGGACAATTTGGTCATAAAAAACTGTGCTGGTTTACATGAAAATTAGACAATTTTATTATTGAAAAATAAATCTCTGCGTGTTTTGCTATTCTGACCGAGGTTATTCTACTATGATAAACAAATCAATCAAATCGAGGACAGGTAACACTACTGACTGAGCTAAGCTGAGCAGGTGATTGATGAGGAATACAGCGAGTGTCCCGCGGTATGTATATACGTGCATCAGATGTGACGTTTACATCCGGGCCATTTGTTCTGCTCATCTAATTGTCCCATCTACACAAAAAGAGTTACATATCATACGCACGGAGCACCCTCGGTGGGGTTTGTAGAAAATCCCGTAAATTTGTCAAATTCACGGTTCAACACAAATAACCGACGTGAACACAGAGGTCTACGGGCATAAACATATAGCCGAATAGTAAATAGCCTCGTTTCTGCGGACCTCGGAGTTACACAATGAAATGTATGTTCTATATCCTTAAATCCCCTTGTACCAATCGTGAGCGTGTACAATTTCATATGCAGGTTAGCAGTTATCCCTGTTTATTTCTTGACAATCTACAAAGGTTTCAATAGCAGAGCTATAATGAGTTTCTAAAAGTGTAATTTTTGCAAAACGTCGGAAAAACAAAAACGATCTCATTTGGTTGTTGTATCATTGCTCCGTCGTTGGCTCGACTCAGTTGTTGGCGCACAGCTGTTTATACATTGAAACAGTGTAAGTATAACAACCTGTATAACATCGAAATATAACAACCTGTATCCACTGCAGTAAACACCCAGATCAAATAAACAGCATACATGGCACATTCTGTGGCCAATCGATGAGACAATAAGGACATTTTGCCTGAAATTAGTAATTCTTAGCGCATGTCGTCGTACTGATCGCACGGAGGGGTAATACAGCAGATAGCACGATTGACGCAATGGGCAATAAGTACACGTGGAATCATAGCATAATAATGTCATATTTTCTAGATATTCCCCGAAATATCCTGCAATAAAGCCGTGTTCTTGTCTTATCCCGACAGTACATCAGCCTGAGATTCAGCCTAAGTCTGCGTATCTTTGCTGCACTGAGCAATATAATATTAACTTTAGTGTTCAGCGCCGTGTCCATGGTAGGCCCAACAATGGCGTTTCAAACAGGTAAGCTTTAGTGATTGTTTTCGTTTCACAGCTTATATCCGCCGGGTTTTAATATCTAGTCCGCCCATCCCACCAATTTTATTTTAGTAGGCATCGACGATTTCTGCTACCTGCTGCCATATCACTTGTTTGGTTGTTTTGTCTCGAACTGAAAAGTAAACATTCGTTCTTTTCGCATTATTTCACCCGGAAGAAGCATCTAGGGAAACCGTAACGTAGCAACGCGAGTTCGATGTGTGTACTTTTATCACATGTCTTATATACATGTTTTGTTTTTTTTCGCAACTAGGATTTTATTTGCTGGCTTACCTATAAAAGTGATTTTTTTTCCTAAAATTGTTTTATTTCACAGTTGGGTTTATCTCAAGATTAAAGAATTTATACGTGCGTGTTATTAATGTTCAATAATAGCATCCAACTCAAGATAGTTGATGTAACTCTTTATTTTGCATTTTTTTTCACCAATAGTACAGGACGTCGAGGGATGGAAAATATTACTGATAATTGGATCATTGTGTATATTCTATACAGGACTAGTGAGTATATAATCCACATATATCGCACGTGTCACGTGACTTCGTGACGTGACTCAGATTATATGACATATGCATCCGTCTAAACATCTTTGTAATTGAGTTTCAAATTTGTATTACATGTACACTGAACTAAGTTCGATTTTTAATTATGTAAAACATGAAGTCTACTGGTTAATGAAAGTGTCACGTGATTACAAGTGTTAAGGTAGCTTGTACTTTATATCTCGCATTGCAACGCCCTATCGCACTATCGAGATTTCCAATGATATATCAATTTGTCTCGCGGAAGTGTTCAGTCAGCGAGCTGAGCCTCGCGTCTGCAACAAATAAATCGAGACTGACACGAGGCATCAATAGAAGTATTAGCGTTACCATTTTCTCCATTTATTTGAAAACAACGTCACCGATTTATATGACACTTACGGCATTCAAAAAATTGACCTCCAGGACGACGTGAAACAAAATTCTAACTAAACGTGTATTCACACGTGGTACTGTAGAATACTTTATTTTCGCTTGGAATTTATTTTCGCTGTTTTCGCTGAAGGGATGATTCCGTGAAAATAAAATCCAGCGAATATACTTTTTCATATATATTTTACATTAAACTCATCAAAAATCAGCTGAGTGAAAATAAATTCTACACAAAACGCCCAAAAAGCCTTTTCAGCGAAAATTAATTCCAGCGAAAATAAAGTTCTCCACAGTATTTAAAAATGAAAGCCATCGAATGTGATTTTTCAAACTGAGTAAACTAAATTATTGAAAATTGGCATAACAAAATATAACAATACAATTACCAGACAGAAAACACTTAAATGCGTGTTGTTATATTTTTCAATTTTGAGGATAATTATAGTAAATAAGCATTATGAACCGTACAAACAAAATCTAGTCGGAAAATAAATCTCATTATGTAAATACGCTGTGTCTGCATTTTCGTTGGCTTATCGAAAGACTAGTTACTAATACGTCACTATTCCGCGTGAAATTAGTTGTATTGACACAAACAAACATATTTAGCCGCTAGAGAACTGAACAATTTGAATTATAGCAGATGAAACACGTGAAACATAATCGCTCTATGCATAGAATGTATTAGCTTTGCAATTCCCAATGCTTTTACAAATCATATTGAAAGAATGACACTTTCTTGGCCTTCCGTGCCCCAAATCATTCAGGCTGTCTACTTGAAACAATCCCAAACTGTTTACAATACCTCGAGTTGACGTACCGATGATAAAATCGTATCGGTACTGAATTCCCGGAGTACCATCTTTAGATTCAAACACGCTCACCTGTGTTCTGCATTACATCAATCTTCACATCAAATAGTTTATAAAGTTTGACACATCGCATCATTCGAATTAAAGAAACAACATTTTTTGAGCCTAGTAATGTACCTGTACCGCTCTAAAAAAAGCTTTTTAAACACGAACAAATAATTCACTTTGATCTAACTGGATTTATTTTATACCACGATTATTAAGAGGGAAGTGATATTAGAGTCATTTTAAATCTTTTGTTCGCCCATTAAAATCAAGCTAAATTAACTAGTGACCTTTGCGAAACATTGCCAGGAAACGTGCTGTCAAAACCTAGGCATCTTTTAGCTTTTAGTCGTTCATTAAATTAAAGTGTGGTTCATTTGTAACTCCACTTGAACTGGATCATTGGACACCGTGTCTTCTACTGACACGAACAGTCCAGTATATCTAGCGTAAAGAGCAGTGGTCGTCACGCAGCGCGTGTTCAAATTTCACGTAAACAAACAATGTATTTTACACGCGTTGTATACGTCGCTATGAGTCCCATATCGAACAGGACGCGAAGGGACGACCACCTCCTTTTAAACAAACTTACACACATTTTTTTACGGGGGCGATACTGTTTGAAGAAAACAGTCTTTCGCCAATTATCGCGGAAATTATTGGCGGAAAGGCACACATACACGAGATGAGTAAATTGAAATTGAGCTCATTTGTTCCAATATTAACTGCATTCGTTAAACCCTTTGATCATCATGCAATAGAAATGCAACCTGAAATGCCATATCCACCGATTTATTTAACATTCAAGTAACATATATGTATTTCACATTCAAGTAAGAGGGCTACTTTAAATTGTAATGCACTCTGTTTAAATCCATCATTTTAACAATAAATTTCCCGTCACTTATATTGCGTAGATGCCATTATTTTTAAAAGAAAAGACTGTCAATTATTTTTCCTAGCTGCTATTCGCAGTCACTTAGAAGGAATTAGAACAAAAAAATATATACTCAAAAAACATTACCTGTAAATCTTGATGATTGTATATATGTTAATCTCATCCGTAATTACCGAAGGTTTACTAATAACCTTTCCCGAATGTGTACTTATTATGAAGATCTCTGTATCCGGCTCATAAGCTTTAACTGAGCTATGAATGGAATACACGAAGTCCTGAGTTGGAAGCTATTTTAATCGTTATAATGGACATTTGATGTGCCGCCATTACTCAATGCATTCGATTGCAGCACGGAGAATCGGCGAAGCGATTACAAATAATACAATTCGATATATTACACCACAATTGCAATTGCAGAAGAAATGCTATACTCTGTTTTGATGTGCCCTCTCTTGCAAATATTCTAGTGTACAGAAAGTTTGCAAATGTATCCTCTTTCTCTTGACACGTTTTTTTCCACGGCTAATGTATTCAATGATCAACGTATTTTCGTGTTTCAGGGAGGCCTGAAGGCTGTCATCTGGACCGATGTTTTCCAATTTGTTATCATAATGATTTCGGTGACAGTGGTACTTATCCTGTGCTCCGTTAGAGCTGGAGGGGTTGCGCACGTCTGGAACTATGCTAAAGACAACGGGAAGTTCAACATTGAGTAAGTAAGCATCGTGATTTGAGAAAATATACGTGATTCAATATGCGCTCAAGCAATCTGCGGCGACAGGTACACGTACAGAGGAGCTGTGACGCCTTTGTTCATAATAAAACGTGTTTTAAAAATCAATGTCCTGCCTTTAAACTTAAATCGTTTATAGTGCGGTGTATAACCTTAAACGATCACGTCACCAGCAACGATTCACAATGTCATTGATTTACCTATTTACATTGCGATTGTTCTAATAACCATTATAGGTTATTATAATACCCGCGCGCTACAACGGCGCGTTTTTATTGGTCTATTGCTACAACGTGTTGCCGAGTTATCAGTAAATAACTGGGCAGTGCTTGAGGTCAATACACGAACGGACGAACAACATTCCGTATGAATTAGTAATATCCAACGATCGTTTAAACAACAAACTATTTAGGATATTTCTTGCCGTTAGGAAGTACCGATAATTTTTATCTAGACAAATTTCGAATGTTACCAGTCAGTGTATACAGTTATTCACTGCATTAGCTATATGTGTAGTTTAAATAACATAGTTTCTGGTAAAAATGTACCTATTTGCCTTTGTTTGCATGTCGTTTGCTCGTAAACTTCTACGCATAACAGAAATACAAGTGTCCGTATATGTTTCAAGCTATCATAGCAAGTATTTTTAAATTGTTTTCGACAGACCTTTGAAATAAAGTTGAAGAGAAAGGTCACTGTCATAATTATTGCGTGTTATAAATCACCACTACCAGGTCTTTATTACGTCACAACTTTACGTAATCACTCGATAATGTAAACATCTATTCGCAAGCAAAATTCAACAAAGGGCTTCTAAATTTAACTCAGTATTTAAAATTCTGGTATTGGCGATTCATAACAACAATATTGACTCCCCACAGGGTCATATTGGGTTCAAAGAAGGGTAAGGTCATTCAATATGGCGCTGTAAGGGGATTTATTGTTGTTTAAATATACCTCAGACAACTAATAAAGTTATTATTGTGAGAATAAACTCGGAAGATGCGTTCGCTTAAACCATGGGATAGATAACATCTCGTCTATAATTGCGCACATTTCCGTCCTTGTCCTGTTGTCGCGCAACCAAGCGTAGTCTTTTATTTCCTAAATAAGGACAGCGCGTCGTCCTTTATACCCTAAATAATTGACAGTGCGTTGTACTTTATTTCCTGATTGGAGCGCAAGTATCATTGACGCGATAAGAACATGGTCGATTCATTTCTTCTCAAGCGTACCACTACACGTATATTCATTTTGTTGGCATTTCGGGTGTTGTAAATGAAACAAAGGGCTCGGCACTGCTCCACAATGTATTACGTGCTTACACGGAAATGTTCAACTTCAACGCTCTTTTAACACTGCGCAGCCGACACCAGTTCTCAAGCAATCATGAATAGGCATAACGCCAAGTAATAAAGACTACTAGCCGAATTGTTCCAGTTATGTATCAGTTAGTTATTTGAGGTAGAACGGGATCACTCGGTTAACACAATGCACTTATTTAATTTTGTCGTTATTAGGTTTAGATGCTGAGGTGAGGGGGTTGGGGTGGGGGTGGTATGACAGTGCAACACTTCCCTTCTTTCCATTTGCAACCTAGTCACAGTTTCAGGAAATGCTGCCACGTGTATTGCCTTGTGTCTGTATACAAGGAACCCCCCCGATCTGATATGAATTGAAATCGTCTCCATATCAGATATTAGACCACGTATACATTTTTAACATTTTTGTTATGATAGAAAAACATTGCTTGCAATTACAAACGCAGCGTGGTTTACTTGGAGATTTACTCGTAACTATGTCGTACAATAATACCACTTGCTGCGGAAATCCCTGACAGAGGTCGATTGCTAACCAAACAGTGCAATTGACGGCGGTAAATATCACGCACTGTGTACATATCTTGGGCAATACAACTCCACTTAGTGAAAAATGACCATCAATTTAACCAGCGAACGAGTGAATGCATCAGATAATCTGACTCAATATACTGATATCGGTTTTACATTATACCGCTTCTAGAGCGGTTCTTAAAATAAGTCAACTTGGGTTATTCTGGATGTGCAAAATGTGAAATTATATATTCGAATAATTATTACTGAGGTATTAGTTGTTGGAGGACTGTATCTTATACTAGTGTGCGGTCATCCCATAAGTGGTTTGTTCATATGTATACCTCAGCAGTGAAGCAGTTTTTATTCAAAGTAATCAATGTTCCATGAGGCATGTGATTCAGTTAAGAGAAAAAATAATGGTTTTGTGCACTCGTTCATTATAGTTTTTTTTCAAATATATACATCGTCGCTAGAGACTAGACAAATGTTATTTACAAAAAAATATAGACTAGAAAGCGAGAAAAAATAGGTCAATTATATGGTAGTTGAAACGCAATATTTAGAGAACGGAAAACGGAAACGGTTTCTGGAAAGCAAACTCCGTTGCTCAGATAATGAGATAAAGATTGTGTGTTTGTTGGATCCTGAGTTTATTTGTTCGCATTTGTTTACCTAAGCGGTGGTTGGATTGAAAAATGGCGAAATTCGCTCTTATGTGTATTGTGACAGTCACGATTTTCAATAGGAAAACAAAAAAATGTGTGATGTATTTGGGTCGTCACTTTGTTCGGCACAAATTGATGAACAAAAACAGAGACAACATCACAGTGAAACAGTAGGTCAATACTTATTTAAGGGAAGCACAGAAGAAATGCAATTGAAACGAATTTATAGGATAGACATATTTGTTTGCGTTGCTGTGCAATTCCTACAAAATCACGCGTTATAAATGCATATGCGTTATATATATAATGCCCCACTGATCTTCGATTCAATAACAATTCATTGAGATTTTGAGAGACGTGGCATCGCTGGATATATTAATACACGGTCGTCTAGGTTCCTCAAGCGAAGAATATTTCGGAGTTTACATCACACCATTATATGCACTTTTGGTGCATGGATCGCTGCAACCTAATCCCAGTATTTGATTGTAATAACACCAGATATAAATATGCATCAAAAATATTCTTGAATAAGAAGAGGGATGATACAATTTTTATTGGTCCTGGGTGCTATAATACCATCACACGTTTCCTTACTTTGCCCCTCACATGTCCGTGTGTTAATGTTCAGTTCATTGTGAATGAGACACGAGAGTTTTTAAATTAATATAAATTCGCAATAGAGCGGTTATATAGGTTAAGAGCTTGAATATTTACATATGAAGCATGT